ATCCAACTAAGTATTAAGAAACTCGAGCTTTTCCGAACAATTCGGCCTGAACCCAGGGTTTTGACATCCTTAAATGTAAACATCATCAATAATTATTGGGTCCAAATCAATTAACCTACGGGTAGATGAAATTGCAAAATTGAAAATGAAACCTAAGTTTACAAGAGTCATCCCACATTGTGATTTGTGGGTGAGTAACCATCCAACTCAAAGCTTGAAAGCAATTTTTTCTTGGGCAATTTAGATTCACAGGTCAATAATTTAGGTCAAATAAAATAAAGTATAAACAATAAAATCAAAGTCTAAATTTTTAAAATAAGAATGTCAACTTCTAGATAGCTTGACTGACCATGAAAAAAATGTAGTTATATAGGAACATGTTTTGATTGAATTTATTGATATATACCCTTCTAGAAAGCACAGGTACATGTACAAGTTTCTTAAAATTAGAGAAAATATTATAATATTATTCCTATATTAATTTATACACTTCCTGTTAAATAAGTATTCATTAAAATACTTCCTTTTGCCTCATCTCTTTCTATAATAATAATAATAATAATTTATACACTTCCTTTTGAAATAAATATTCAGAAAAATATTTCCTTTTGCCTTATCTCTTTAGTGAAATCGGGGATGTTCAGACAGGAAATTGAATCTGAGATTGTGCGTCTATACATACTATTTTCAATTTGTCCTAATCATCTCGACTACCCACAAATAATTCCTTTTGCCTTATCTCTTTTTCACCTTATAAGAAGATATCAAACACTAAATGGATTGAAATTTTCATAATGACATTTTAGAAATTGCTTTTTTTTTTTTTAAATAAAATATATTTAAAATTTTTAATTAACTAGTTTTTCCTGAAAAATAATTTTACTCATAACACTTTATAAAAAAAAAAAAACAAATTGTCACATCGTATATCGTTAACTAACACGAGTCTAAATCATATAAAAATAAATTTGTGAATTTTTAGGTTCCAACAAATAAAAAAAGACAAGACCAATGACAGCTTTTTTTTTTTTTGTTTTCCTTTTTTTTTTTGGTTCCTTCTTTAACTACTATAAGATCTGTGATTCAATCCATCAACATAAAGATTTTTTGTACCAAGTTCTATAATGATATAATTAATTCCTTAATTCGTTTATAATATGGCAAATTATTATGTACTTTCAAAGGAGAAAATCATTTATATGCTTCAATATTCAACACCCTTTGGCCATCAGTCTTTAGTCAATAGAATCCGGTGACTAGACCAAATCAAAAGATTATTTATTAACTTTAATTAGTGGGGAGTTTACTTTTTAATTATCCATTTTTATCTTAACTGATCTTTCACATTCCTTGAGTATGCTTCAAGTAATGAGTTTAAAATGGCAAATTTAGTCAACAAAACTTTAGAATTTCGTAGTAGATGCTCTTCTTTCATCCCATTTCCCCGAAGTTTAATACCACTAAGAGGAGGTTTTTTACACGGACATCCCTTAGGTTTATTAAACGAACAAGGAGACCTATAAGTTTTAGAATGCAACACATACACACTTACGGTTGAATAATGTTTTTGAAAAATAACTATAATAAGGATAGCTCAAGCAATAAGACGAGCGTTGAAATATGTGGTTAAGGTGTACAGTCTTAAGTTTTAATTCTCTTGGCTCTCAAGATTTAAGTGGGTAATTATGACAGTGGGCAGTGGGATGTTATACTAATCATCTATAAAGATTAGTCGAGATGCACGCGAGCTAGACTGGACACCCTGTTTCATAAAAAAAAAAAAAAAGTGTTAAGTGTTTCATTATGAAACATGTGGGTTTCTTTGTTATTTTACTAAACCTAAGGGGTGTCCACGAAAAACCTCCCACCAATGTAATTAACTTTTAATTATATAATTAACTTGTTTGTCTTACTTAGTATTAATGATGATTATTGGAACAATTGTCAAAGGAAAGCACTGACCAGCTTCTACCAGAATCTGATGTTTCTTCAAAGCACTTTCTGAAAAGCCAAAAGCACTTTAAGTTCTTTTCTTCGAAGTGCAGGTTATGATAACTATAGTCTATACCCAAACGTATATCTTTAAGATAATATTAAAGATGTATACAAAGATAATAAAATAAATTATATTTATTAATATAATTATCAATTAATAATATATTTGTAGGACGTACGTTAACATAATCCTTATCGATAAGGTGTTAAAGTCTAACAATGGTATCATTCTATGTGCTCGTATTATTACGTGTACAGTTATTCAACCGTAAAATAAATGATATAATATACTATTATTATGCATGCAACACATGTATTTGAATTTTAGTTTCGAAAACAATAAAAATATTTTCTGGCAACAAGTTGGTGGAGAAATTTATTGTTTTTTGTTTTTGGTTTTCAATTTTCATACTTCATTGCACACCTCATTTTGGTTTTTTGTTCAATAATTTGACATTTTCTTTCTTCATATAAATTCCCAATTTCTTCTCTTTTTTCACAACTTTGAGAAGTCGTTTACCTAACAAAATTTATTATTTTTTATTATTATTATCATTGAAACCTCGAAATTATTGAAAATTATTTAAATAAAAAATATATTTTTAGACATAAATAATTAAACAAGAACTTTAATAAATATAGGGCAAACAACAACTTCCCACCCAACGTTTGGTGTAACGGCATGCCTACCCTAAAAGTTTCAAAACGACAGTTTCCCACCCATTCATCCAGTTTTTCCGATAATTTCAATTGTAGAAAGACATAATGTTATGAGTGAAATTACTTTTAAGGTATTTGATCAAAATAGATAATTAAATCGTTTACAATATTGTTTTGAAGAGAACACCACATAAATGTTTCTCTAAGAAAAAGTTTTTATTTTTTATAATTATTCAAAAAAATATATTTTTATACTTTGTTGAACTACAAGGCACTTTCATAAAGTAACACTTATTATATAAGGTTAAGTATAATTTTAAACATGTAAATAACATTATCAGTTGACAACACAAAGACAAAAAATAAATAATTAATTAGTTATCTAGATGAAAGAAGATAAGATGGAATCAAATTACAAAACAATATTCATATTCAAAAAAAAAAAAAAAATCATAAAACACCTTGTATGATTGATTATTTCAAAATACACCCATGATTATTATAAAGCGTGATCACCGCTATGATTAAAAAAAAAAAAATCATTATTAAAAGTATTAAAAAAAACCGTTCTTTTAGGAGTATATAATGTTTTTTTATTAAAGTAATGTTAGGTCTATAACTCAATCTCACAACCCCAACATAACAGTTCGTTATTGGCCAGCTCAAAAAATGGGTATTGTCTGCTTGTATGGGTCTTGCTTGCTCATTTGCGAGTTAACCAATAACGAGCTATCACGTCAGGGATTATAAGAGAAGGTTGAATCTAGCATTATTGTTTTAATTATCGTGTATAAATTTTAAACTAATGAACACGTATGAGATTACTTAATAATAAACCCGAGTTTATTTCATCCGTTCTAAGATATCGTACTGTCTTAAACATAGCGGCGACGGAAACCCTAGGCAAGTGAGGCAATTTTATCCTATAATTTTATTTATTTTCTCTTTTATATATATAAGAAGGAAAGAAAAGAAAGGGGTTCCATCAATTAGTTTGAAAAAGACAAAATTTTTTTTTGTAGTTAGTGAGTTGGTCATGGTCTTGCATGGCTGCACAAAAAAGAGCCATTAAAATAAAAATAAAAATAAAATAAAATAAAAAACCCAAAAATGAAAATAATATTCCATTTAAACGACTAGTACTAGTTGTTGAGCTTGGCACCGCCGCACTGAGCCACCCACATGACTAGTTTGACTAATTTGAATTGAGTAAAGAGGACTATAGATTATTCTAGATCTTGAACTTGATCTTGAAAACTTATCAGTTGCCAGCTCTGCCTTTTGATATTTCATCACCACCGTCTGATTTTGGTTGCTGTAGACAGATAGAATAAAGGAAAAAATCTTGACTTTAACAAGAAGAAGATGATAATCATGACGTCAAAAGCAAGATAAAAAAGATAAAAAAGGTCATAAATGAACAAATAATAATAATAATAAAAGGGTTTTGCATGTTTAATGCATTGAGGATGGTTTTAACATTGAGAATAGTGAGATTCATGAGATTAGAAAGATAATTCATCAATTTTTGAGATTATTGAGCGTTATAATGATGTCGGGTGATAAAAAAAAGAGGGGTTTCTATCAAAATTAATACACAATAGTAAAATCAATCAAGTAGTTACGTGATTCACGTGATATACAAATTATAGTGGATTTTATAATAAACAGGATGAAATCTTATAAACAGTAAATTCAATAAAATTTAATAGTATAAGAATTGTTGAGACGGCAAATAATAACTATTTTCAAAAAAAAATTTACATCCGTCTGGATTTACCCGCAAGGTCACACAGTGAGTTGTTGTGAGATTAAAAAGATAAATTCATCCATTTGTTAGATTGTTGAGCATTATAATGATGTCAGATTGATTAAAAATTGTGTCTCAATATAAAAAAAATAAAAATAAATTGAATTATGTAATTATTGAATAAATATTTTAAATCAATTTTACACAAACGTTAAACATTCCAAGTGGTATGTTTGGTAAGTAAACTAAACTAAAACCACTCAGTTATTAGTTGGTAACGAATTAAATGCCGCAAAAAAACATTTAACTAACTAAACCACAAAAAACGTGCCCAAAAATAATTAATTTCTTCACCATTCGAACCTTCCGTCACCCTCACCCAACATATATAATATATTAGCTCCTCCACGAGTCCTACCTCTTCACTGTCGAAACCCCTTACGTCACCACTCCCTTGCCCATCACACAAGTAAAATGTATCAATCTAATCATAAGATATTGTTTTAATTAATTATTACATGGCGGAGTTTCATTTGCTTTGGTATTGGTATATCAATGAATTGGTACTTCCAATTACACCGGAGACTTTCTCTATGATCAGACATGGAAGCTGCTTAAGCTTCTCCCAGGCCCCACACACTTTCTCTTGCTCTACACGAACTCTTTCTCTCTTTCATTTAAATTCCTGATTTCTCTCATTCATTCTACTCTTCACTCACGCTTTTCATCCAAAACCTCCATGGATCTTAAATGTCGCTCTGTCCCGTCGGGATATTTTCTTCTTCTCCTCTTTCTCGTTGTGGCTCCTCCGTTTACGGCGGCGCAGACCAGTCCTGACCCGCAGACCGACCCGTATGCAAACATGCGGTTCAGTCCGTCTATGGCGATAATTATTGTGGTCCTAATTGCGGCGCTTTTCTTCATGGGGTTTTTCTCCATCTATATTCGTCATTGCTCGAATGACGCGAATGGCTCGAGCGTGCGAACGGCGACTGGTGGCCAGCGGTCCCGACGCGCTGCAGCGCGTGGGCTCGACGTGTCCGTGATCGAGACTTTCCCGACTTTCGTTTACTCTGAAGTTAAGGCGTTGAAGATTGGGAAAGGCGCGCTGGAGTGTGCTGTGTGTTTGAGTGAGTTTGAAGACGAAGAAAAGCTGCGTTTAATTCCCAAATGCGATCATGTGTTTCATCCTGAGTGTATCGATGCGTGGCTCAGTTCTCATACCACGTGTCCGGTTTGTCGAGCGAATTTGGTCCCGCAACCCGGGGAGCCAGTTCCTCAAGTTAGTGAGTTACAGTTACAAAACGAACCAGACCTCGAGGCACAAAATGACGTCGTGGATGGGGGACAGGAAGATTCGAACGGAAGCGGAGAAACACCTCTCACACAAGCGCCGGAACCCGAAGTAATAAGCGTGAACAGGATGTTGAACAGGAACCGTACACGTGGCTCGAGATCTAACAGGCCGCGTAAGTTTCCGCGGTCACATTCGACTGGGCATTCTCTATCTCTTGTGCAACCGGGCGAAGACACCGAGCGGTTTACTTTGAGACTACCAGTTGATGTGAGGAAACAGATAATGAACCGGGAACTGAATCGCGCTTATAGCTTGCTAAGTTTCCCACGGGAGAGTAGTTCGAGGAGAGGGTATCGAACCGGAGCTGGTGAAGGTAGTAGTAGAGGGAGAAACAGCCGGTGGATCGACCGGATGGACCGGTCCTTTAAATCAGACCGGTGGTTGTTTAGCAAGGCGGCACCCTTTTTCTCAAGAGCATCTTCAGTGAAGTCAACAAAAGTAGCTGCGAATGATGACAATGGAAGTACGGGTGGACCGGAGGCTTCATCGGCTCAACCGAGTCGGCCACCGGTTTAATGGTCTTTTTTTTTTTTTTCTTTTTTATAGTTGTACGACCAATTTTATGTAGATTATTGTCGATATTTTTTTTCTTTTAATATTTTTTAATTTGTAATTTGATTTGTAGGACTAGTGTATGTAAAATGAAATCACGAGAGACCAATTCCATTTGAAAAAAAATGGACTGAAAAATTAATTATAAAATCATCCCTTAGTGATTATAAATTTTACCCCAATAGTTTATGGGCAGCGAATTTTAAATTTTAGGGTTAAAGTCATCTATTCAAAGTGATAAGTTTAGACCGTCGTAAACCTTACATAAGAGTATAAAAAACTCACCGATATATATAATTAATAGTAATAAAAATTTTAAAATTTGATGGACTGTTTGAGAATTATCAATCTGAAGACGAAGACATTAATGTTTTTTCCTAAAATAATAAATATAATATTTTTCACACAAATTTCACATAGAAACTAGAATTAAATTTTCTCTAGTTAGTCGAATGGTTTAATAAAGACTTTTTGGTGCATTACTAAAAAAATCTTAAGTTTAAGTCTTTTTTCGATTGTTAATAAAGAATATTCATTGAAGTTTTTACTTGGTTTGTAGTTTCAGAATTCTGAAAGATTAATTAATATACGCATAAACTAATTCGAACACTTTCAATTATAAAGAATTAATAATTTGACCAACTCAAAACAAAGAGAACAAAAGTGTAGCAAAATCAGATTCAGTCTACCTAATTTCTCTAAACATGTATAATATAATTTCCTATATATATATAAACCCTTTAAAGGGTAGGGTTTCCTTTTAAGCTAGCTAAAGGATTTGAGTGCATCGAAAAATCCAAAATTAATTTAGTTTAGTTTGCGCTCCACGTTACTCTACTTTGAATAATAGGAAGAAATTGCTTTATTTAATTTGAATGCATCAACAGTTCAAACATTGAATATTAAGAAAACAATTGTTTCGTCATTTCATGGAAACAGCCCCTTTGTTAACAACGGCAAATTTCGTCATTTCATGGTCTATTCAACATGGGTTGGCTTGGAGTTTATTGTAATTATATATACCGCTCTTGGATTTTGGTTTATTACATACTTATCCGGAAATTTAAGATATTGGTATAATACCCCCTCATTCTAACCAAAGTTGAGGACAAATTGATAGTCTAATGATAGAATGGAAATTGCACAAATTGAAAACATGTTTCTAGACGAAAGGAAAAGAATCCTAAACCAAATTCACCTTTTCCCATTTCCTCCCGGTCGCTCTCCGATACAACTAATCACTTCTTATGGACCCTCGCCCACTTGTTGTCACAATGTGACACTCAACCCGCCTATACCGTTCTTGGATTTTGGTCTATTATTTCCTTATCCGACAATTTAAGATATTGGTATAATACCCCCTCATTCTAACCAAAGTCAAGGACAAATTGATAGTCTAATGATAGAAAGGAAATTGCACAAATTGAAAACATGTTTCTAGACGAAAGGAATAAAATCCTAAACCAAATTCACCCTTTCCCATTTCCTCCCAGTCGCTCTCCGATACAACTATTCACTTCTTATGGACCCTCGCCTCACTCATCGTCACAATGTGACACTCGACCCGCCCTCTTATGAAATCCAACAACCTAGCCTTCTTGCCGTCATTCATCACCACTCAAATATTATTATTATTATCTAGATGATTTTTTTTTTTTTTTTGTTGTTGTGGGGCAAATTTAGTGCAAAAAAATTACAGGACCTGTACAAAGGCCTTAGGGTGGAGTAAGTTATTCTCTTGGTTGGCCTGTGGTCCTTGCTTCATTTGGAAACATAAAGAATTAGGTATCATTGAATAGTTGCTTTTGCCTTTGAACTTCCACGAAAGCAATCAAACTTGAAGATGATGCACTCTACTTATATAAATACCCTATCACTTATTTAGTGCCACGAAATCCTCACCCGTCCTAATATAGAAATGTCAAATGGATCGAATCAGTTGATATGATATAAAATTATACAATTAAATATAACATGATATCAAATAATATAATGGAGTTCAATATAATAACAAAATCATTAGTTTAATATACACGAAGAAAAATATCAATTGATGTGAAGTGAAACGTGGGAAGTCTCCAACCTGACCACATTGCACTCCACATCAATCATGATGAGAATTTGATATGCAGAATCGGTAAGCGTTGTCTTACTATATACATGAAATACGTATAATTTATTGTACCAAATGTCTACCCATGCATCCAAGGGCGGATCCAGCCCATGGCCCACCCTCAAATTTTTTTTTCTTTAAAATATTAATATATATAATTTTTAGATTTTGACTCACCCTAAAAAGATTTTCTGGATCCGCCCTTGCATTCATCTAGAGCAATATATAATTTTGGAGCAAGTTTTCTTTGTGCATTGATCACATTGTAACTAACTATGGTTTGTCCTATAGTTAGTTAATTAATTCTTCCTCTCATAACAAGAAGATAAAGAGTTATAAAAATGCATAGATATGTGGGGTTTTGTGCCTAACTTAAAAGTAAGTTAAAATTGAAGCCTGCAAGAAGCAAAGTGACCTCCATCCCTCAAAATGTGCCATATTGAATGATGCCAAAAACCCTAATGTCTAGATTCAGTTTTGCTCCATGATTTTATTATTGGTACATACATACATACATACACACACCCTCTCGGTTGCTGATTTTATAGTAAAGTTTGCCCACAAACTTTTTCTTCGATATTATTTGATATCATGTCATATTTGGTCGTATTATTTGTATTTCAACCTAAAATTGCTGTTATTACCAAAATCAAAGCACGAAAACGAAAGTAGATACAATACGAAGATGCCACAAAGCAATATAAAGCTTATAACATGACATTTCATAGAAACAAGTGATTGGTTAAGGAAATGGTCCATTTCTAAATATGTACAAAGCTTTTAAATGAATAAAGGACACAATTATTGAACCCATGGCCATAATTTTGCTTCAATAATGTTTACAACTTCATAACCCAAATATTTATTTATTTATAATTTACGGCATGCTTTTAGAGTCTTTTTTACAAAATAAATTTGTCACATCTTAGTAAAAGACGTTCAGGATTCAGTTTATAAAGCTTAGATACCCATAACCAAAACCAAGTAAACACGTTTTCGGTGAAGGATGTTTGCATGAAATTTAAAAAGAAATCTACGTGAATCCTGTGAGGTTGTCATTTAGTTTCATCGGGTATATAATATTTTTTTATTTAAAATTATTTATTGGATTATTATATATATATTAATTTTTTATTTTATAAAAAGAGAAAAAAAATGTATTTTTCAGTAAATTTTTATAACACACAAAAAAAATTTAATATGTTTAAAATTCTATATGAGCATTTTTTTAATTTCCTCTTCAAGATACTATATTCTGAAAATTGGTTTTATCATGACACAGACGACGGGTCGGTCCTGATAAGAAACGCATATGATAGGTCGTTCGATTAGTATATGATGACAAACGAACTATGAATTGTTCTGACAAGTCGTTGTACTACGATTAAAGACAAACGCCATGTCGTCCACATACCAAGTGATCATCTTGCTTGAGGAAGGAATGAGGGAAGAACATTGAACAAACGAAACTTTTCTCGCAGAACAAAGATTCCCCACCAAGCAAAGCCTCAAAGCCGTCAATCCACGAACCCAAAATTGAAACTTGATGGAAAACGAAGAGCAGAACGCGCCATCAACACCACAGCAATCTTCTCAAAATAAGAAGAAGACAGTGATTACAATACCATCTTACCAAGAAGTAATAGCAAGCTCACAAATTAAATCAACGCCTCCACAAAATCTCTTCGCGCCATCCCAGTCTTTCTCTCAAGCCTTCTCTTTTATCAAAAACTCTGAATTTTATGACCCTCCACCTGTTAAACCAACTAATACCCAAAATCTGACTTCAAGGTTTGTTTGTTTGTTCTTTTGTTGTTGTTGTCGTTGTTGTTTTTTCTTTCTTTTTTTTGTTAGGTCCTTAATTGTTGTTTTTATTTTTTTTATAGTCAAGGTGGTGAAGTGAAGGGGGTGGTTTCTTCAAGTTCTTCTTCACAGCCGAATCTGGTTTCTTCAAGTTCTTCTTCAAATCCTAATCAGAATCGAAATGCCATTCTAGTTAGTCACAGGCAGGTGAGAGCTGTTTCTAATTTTTTATTTGAAAAAAAAAAAATCGATTCTTTTGGTAGTTTGCTGTGTTTATTGAGCTTTTTGAGAGAAACCAAGCTAAGAAAAGGAAACTTTTGTGTAGTAATTTAGCATACTATGAGTGGTTCAATTACAATATTTGATGAATTGGAGGAGCTTAATGTTATAAATGTTGTTGAATGAATGTTTGCATCTTTGTCAAATTTGTGTAAAATCTCTTTCGTTCTTGTTTAATATTTCTTGTGAGCTTGTTAAGAGTACGGTTAGTGCTTGTTTTTAGTTGGTATTCATGAATTAGCCTGAATATTGAATTTTCCTCCCGTTTGCAGAAGGGAAATCCCTTACTAAAATATATCAGAAATGTGAGATGGGCTTTTGCAGATGTTGTTTGTGACTACTTGATCGGGCAGAATTCATGTGCTTTTTATCTAAGGTTTGAAGTTCTGCACACTCTGTCATCTATTTCATTTGTCTTGTTTCTATTAGTACTATTAAACAGTTAAAAGTACTGGCAAAGTTAGTTGTGAATGTATATAATCGTGATGGTCAATAGAGATACATAGTCATTTGAAGTTGTAATTTGGTTTATATATATGAAGGTGCTGTGTGAAATTGAGAATTATAATGTCTACCTCAGTTTAAAAAAATTTCTGTTTCATAGTTTCCTCTTTAAGAATTTTGTAATATAATGAATGAATGCCTTAGAAATGACTTGATTAGCAATTACACTTGCAATGCACTTAAATCATGTCTGTTGCCTTTGGTTTGTATGCCTTGGAAATGACTTGTTGGCATTTATGCATGCAATGCACTTAAATCATGTTGCTTTTAGTTTGTGTTCGTGGAACAGCTTTGGGACTATTTCATCCACAGGCTTTTGTGTTGAATAGAATAACTTATCAATATTTGTATCAGATGCATTTTAAAATGAGATGAGCTCTTGTGAATCAAACCTCAATGTATTGATTCTTTGATGCAGTCTTCGATATCATCTGCTGCATCCAGATTACCTGTATTACCGTATAAGGGAATTACAGAAAAGCTTCAAGCTTCGCGTTGTTCTCTGCCATGTTGATGTGGTAAGTGTCCCTTCAAGGAGTGATAATCTTTCATGTCTTCTTAAGGATTCAATTTGACTTAATATTGTAAATGAAATTTGGATAACATGAAGACAGCTAAGTTTGGATTTTTTTACATCAATAAAATAAAGGATGTGATTACTCATTTTTCTTTTTTGTTTCAGGAGGATGTAGTTAAGCCTTTACTGGAAGTTACTAAAACTGCTCTACTACATGATTGTACCCTGTTATGTGCTTGGAGGTAGATTATCCATTTTTTTACTCGCAAATAAGCGTATAGGCTAAATAAGTTGTTTGTTTAGTAATGAGTCTGAGACTGCTCCCCTAGTTTGTTGGATAATTCATGTATGTATGAAAATCTTATAAGATTGTGTATATATTTCCTAAGCCTTCTGTTCAACAAATAAGTGGCTGTTGTTTCTTCACATTTCAGGTCCTGTTGTTATTAACTCTTTAAGAATCTGGAGTCTTTATGCAAGTGACTCAGTTGTGATCGAAGTTATGAAAGTTGTTTATTAAAATTTGAACGACCTGAATATGGTTCTCTTTTGACGAACTTCTTTTATATTTTTTGGTTGTAGCTTGGAAGAATGTGGTCGCTACTTGGAGACTATCAAAGTCTATGAAAACAAATCGGCTGACCTTATTCAAGGTCAAATGGATGCAGACTATTTATCACGGGTATGTTCCTTTTTTAGTTCTCCCGTCTCATGATAAATTTTTATATTTTACACTGGCTGAGGAATCTTTTGAAGTGATTAAACTGATCCTATGCTTCTTTTGATGTAGCTGACCCATGCCCTCACAACTGTTCGACATGTTAACAAGACTGATGTGGTTACCTTAGGGTCAACATTTGGGGTATGCTTGTGTGATTTGTTCAGATTTATTTACCTATCAAAGTATGGTAGTTGATTTGTTACTCCAAAACTCATTGACATTGTTTTGCAGTCTCTTTCACATATCATGGATGCATCCATGGAAGACTTAGCTCGTTGTCCTGGCATAGGAGAGCGCAAGGTATTATTTTTCTCCAAGATGAGACATGACATATGATGGGATTTCATTATTTTTTTGTGCATGTACCTATTTTGCATGATGCCATCTAGATGGTTGCTTAGAAAACTATTACCCTTTAAATGGTGTCTTCTTTATTTTATGTTTTTAACTACTAATAACCTACCTGGTCAATTTTTTTAATGAATCAGGTTAAACGTTTGTATGACACTTTTCATGAACCATTCAAGCGCGTAGTTTCCAGTCAACCTGCTATTCCAGAATCCACTTTTCAAAAATATGCTGAACCTCGCTCATTGAGTGAAGTGACAGAAGTGGAAAAAGACACAGAAGATGCAAGCAAACGTAGGAAGAAAGAACCCGAAAAGACTGTTAAATCAGCTCTATCTGCCGCTTTTGCCAAATATGCTGATAAAATTGGCAAAAAGAACAATAGATCACCTGCAAACAAGGAAGGGGAAACAAGTGCTGCCAAATCAGGGTCTGAAAATAAGAATGACAATGAAGAAACTGCTAGTTGATATTTCTACTTCCCCCAAAATAATTCACACTAACAGAAAAAATGAGCGCCTGATGAAATGGAAACGCTTCAGAAGATGTTATTGTTTCCTTGGATGGAAGGAAGGAAGGAAGACATATTGGTGGTGCATACTGGACGGGGTTATCTTTTCCTCCCCTTTTACGGTGATGTTTAACATGGAGAATCTTGAAATCTTGTGAACCCGGTAAGATTTTGTAGGGCTTAGAAATTATGCAGGCCAAAATGTAATCTATAGGTATGTATTATTGTATATATAAAAGAACTAAAATCTTTGGAAATTGATTAATTTTAACATCCCATTTTCTGAAGCTACAAAACTGGACTCTTGAGATAGTTTTCTCTTATCTTAGTGCGCTGTCAAATGATTCTTAGCAAATTTGGATTTGAGTTGGTATAGACTATGAAAACTCTTCTCCTTATGTTTTGGATGATCTTGTAGAGCCTTTTTTACATCTGTCTGGAGATAGTATTTTAGCATCCTTGATTGATCTTGAGATTTCCCGAATCATGTTAGTCACAACTTACTGCCCCTAGCCATTGTTTTAAAACTTGGCCCGGCCTGGCCGATTGAACCGGTTTAACCGGGACCTGGGGCCTTCACTGGGTTGGGTTACAAAATTTTCTATTAATTGAAAACCCTATAAATTAAGACATCAATCTGTGAACAATTGAAGGTTGTAATGTTAGGGCTTTCGAAGAGGAATTGCTGGTGAGTACAATGGTGGCAATGTGTCGATTTCCAGTGAGTGAATTGATTGGAAATCGTAAAATAATGTCGTCAGAAAAAGCCTGCCGTCATCGGCGATTGGGGAGGCGAACGGGGGAAGGGTGAGATAGGTTTTGGTCAAGAGACTAAGGGGAGTGTTTTCGTGGTAATGAGAGTGTTATTGTCATCGAAAACAAGCCATATTTGACGAGTCCAACGGTGGTGTTTGGGATATTTTTATAAGATTTTAAACCTATAAGCACTTAATGAATTTTTAAGAGTATTTTTCATAGATTTCAAACTTTTGGATATTGGTTAAGTTAAACCGGCCAACCCGGGACCCAGCCACTTTGCTGCGTTTCACTCCGGATTGGGTTTTAAAACATTGCCCTCAGCATGAAAATTGACCACCTTTATATGAAGTCAATTATTTCTAGAAAAGCTCATTATATGATTCATCTCAAATATTGAACACAAATGAAAGTGATGGCCAACTACCACCTTAAAGCTTGTTGTAAAAACCCTAACAATATCCCAAAAAAATGTCATGTTATCGGAGATAATGTTACCCTTCATCTTTACCATTAAATTATAGTCCACTCAACCCTTCAATTATACGGGGTAAAGTTACCCCAGAAGTAGATGAATCTCATTATGACTTTCAGGCTTTAGCTAACGTAAGGAATAGTAACCCAACTTAATTTTCATGTGAGTACATTATGTTATCTTCTCATGATGTCTCACTTGTTTACCTTATATTCAACTTCTCTGCAATAGCATGTGGGATCAAACATTCTTTCCCTAAATATTTAAGACTTTTCCCAAGTAGTTAAGTGTATTCTGGTGTTAAATCTGTGGTTTTTCTCTCTTTCTGTTCTCTTTGATGTTATGTGTTTTAACAGTATTTTTTACCCGTGATCTACAGCCAAACTTTGTCCCTTCGTATCTTCAAGACAAGACTGATATCTATTGCTTCTGAATTATGCCACTAACCTCCTTTTTGTCTCTTCCTCTCTACTCTCCAATTTTCTAATATTCACACTTTGTAGATAAGGCTATAAAAAAAAAAACATAGGCTTCTCTCAAAAATACACACTAGGTTGTTACACAACATAAGACAAAATTCTTCACCAAGATTCTTGGTTTCTGAAGTTGGGGCCAACAAGATAATGTTGCCTCATTATTTGTTCTTTTCATAGGCACATCATCTAGAATTCTACATGACTTGATTCTGAATATTGGGTCCACATACACTTTGCTCTGACCATATGCAGAATGTTAGCTTCTGATTTTTTTGTACAATCAACTACTTCTGCCTTTTAAAGAAATTTCTTCTGCTTCTTGTTAATGGATCCTGTTCAGGGTTACAGTTTTAACCATTGCATGCTTTTAATCATTTAATTGCTTTTTTTTTTTTTTTTTTTTTTGGTAAACCTGTTAATTTTCTCTCCCACTATTCGAACATAAGACTCTTAGGTACGGCTAACCTCGGTGGCTAAAGCCTAAAGGGTTTGCTATCCGGCCACAAAGGGAGAGGTTGAAAACTTAAAATTACTGCATTCAAGTGCACACTGGGAGTGAATCCATATTGTTACTCTTCACAGTAACTGATAAGTGACAATGAACATCACAAAACACAAATGAGACTTACTTTTTCTGTATAGTAGTCATTTGGATGACTGGATTTATGTTTTTTAAGCATCAAAACTATGGATTACTGTTTATTACCATCAGTTTCGATATACATGGCACGCGGCATGACTAGTTTTGCATTGCCAGCAAGATTTGCAGCACAAGAAAGGGCCATTTTGGCCTGCTTGAATGTATAAAAACTACCTTCTATCCAATTTGTTCCTAAACAATTGCTGGGAATTGTAGAGAAACAGAGAATATTGCAAAGCTGGCTCAACTTATTTGGGACAACAGTTTTATTCTTTGCCGAGACAATGTAGGATGCTTTTCTTTGTTCTAATGAGATGGACAGAAACAGTGTGGGGAACTTTGCAAACTCCAGAGAGCACCTAAAACCTGGGACTTGGCGTTTGATTCTGAAATCTGGAGGAACCAGATGAGACCATGGAATTGTTCCTCACTAGAGGGATTAGTGACTGTGCAACGTCTGTCATTAGAGGACGATACTCTGCTTCTGCTTGCACACACATGGCTGCAATGGCAGCTATCTATATAACCATTATAAGAAGAAACAATAGGTTTGTTAGTTGGGAAATTTTTTTTTTCTGATAAACAATAAAGGTGATTAAAGACAATAGAGAATTAAGCTGACCTGAATCAGATCCTTCTTTGAATATTGGCCCTTTAGAGAGGGGTCAACCATTTCTACTACTTTGTCTCTGTTAGTTAACCTTGGAAGAGCCTGACAAATTGTTGCATTGATAAATATTTCTTTAGAGTTAAGAAACTATACCAATAGTTTCTTTGATTGCTTTTGGATATATATATCACTTGCATGATAATTATAAGTTTGTGATGGAGTTTTGGCTACTAACCCATGAAACAAGAACATGTTCTCCAGGGGGCCTATTGGTATCTATGGGTACACGTCCTGTTAAGAGCTCTAGAAGAACCACGCCATAGCTGTACACATCTGATTTTGTAGTAAGCTTCCCAGTTGAAGCATACCTACATTACCAACATTTATGAAAACGGTTAGTCGGTTAAAGGTATACTTAAATTTCCCATCTGCACACTCAAATAATGAGAATGTTGTCATCGGAAATCCATCTAATGCAGAATCATAACTGCAGATTGTCTATGAGTACGGTTCCTTCTCCTCAAACAGGTTTATTAAATATGATAATGACAGTTTACCAACTGGGGACCTATATTTATGAACAGTTTTGTGCAAGATAGAATTGATAGAATAATTTATACCATAAACTGATAATGAACAAGTGCCATTATAAATGATGGAACACTCACTCAGGAGCTAGATATCCAGTGGTCCCCAGGATGCGCGTTGAAATCTGACCATTGATCTTGTCTGAGCCCATCTTGGCCAATCCAAAATCTGTCACCTTGGCACGGAAATTTTGATCTAGGAGAACATTGGAGCACTTGAAGTCACGGTGGATGATGGATGGTATCACTTGCTCATGGAGGAACTCCAGGGCTTTAGCACAATCAAGGGCTATCATCAATCGAGTCCCCCAATCCAATGGCTGATATTGATTGCTGGAGGGGTGTATATGTTGTTCCAGAGTACCATTAGACATGAACTCAGAAATTAGGAGTCTATGATCTTGGTCAGCACAATAGCCTAGTAGCTCCACCAAATAAGGAGAATGCAAGCGGCTCAGCAAATCAACCTACATTGTTAAGCATGTTAAAGAATGAGTTTCATGCAATATTTTTATCAATTATCTATTGCTACATTCAGTAGAAACAAAGTCACAAGCATCTTGAGCCTGCTCAGATAGGTAATTAAGATAGAAACAAAATTAAGAAGAGACAGAGAGCCAATGAATGCAAAAGATAATAAATGAAGTCAGACTCAGTCACCTCCATTCTAAATGCATGCTCCCCTTGCTTTCCTTCTCTAAGCAACCTCTTAATTGCAGCCAAAGTGCCATCACTCAACACTCCTTTATACACAGCTCCAAACCTTCCATTGCTTATCACATTCGCCTCACTAAATTTTTCAGTTGCAAATTCTAGCTCCTTGTATGTGAAAACTTGTACTCCTTTATATCTATTTGAAGCTGTACTTTTTAAATGGCCTCCATATAGACACCCGCCCTTCACATCTGCAACATTTTTTAAGCATAACCAAATCAAATTTTGCATCGAACATAAAATCGATGTGATACATGACTAGTTTGATAAAAAGGGAAAAGATTTTCATGAAAAGAAGACGGGGAATGAATTGAAAAGCAAAAAGGATGAACCTTGGAGTATAATTACTGATTTTTAATTACCTGGACTGGAGGCTACGTTGATAGTGGTATGAGCAATGAACCTACTACTGCTGCTCTTGTTGATAATGCCATCGCAACTGGCGTGGCCTTTTCCGGATTTAAGTCTCCGGAGCATTAGTATAACTAGTGCTAAAGCAAATAACACGACAACAGAGATGACTGAAACAATGATTATGATGATGGAATGGAAGGAAAGAATGAGATGGTGAGGATTATCATTAGGTAGAGAATGTTTGTGATGGTGGAGTGAATGAGTAAGGTTTTTCTCAGAGCCAAGACCAAGTGGCATTGTAGGTGCAATTGAATTGGTGCTACTTTCCATGAGCACAAACAGCAATGAACATACAAGTGAAATATGACTAATAAGAGAGATACAGAGAGATGGTTTTTGGGAAGATGAGTTGCAGGATTTTGCAAGTAAATTTAACTTCCTAGGAGCTCTTTTTTTTTTTTTTTTTACCTGTATGGCCTCAAATGCCTCTCTCTCTTTCTGTCTCTCGTGATAAATGAAGTGGCTTCTGTACTTATTCGTCCTTTGTTTTGTATCTTCTAAGGAATAGTCTTTGTCTTTGCAGCAGAAAAGCTTGGAAGCTTTTGCACAACTTCACTCCCGTCTTCAATCATCCAAATTATTAGCTAGTAATAACCAAACCCTCTATTTTGTATGTCCAATAAATAATTCTATCCCTCACTTCAGATTTATGTGACAAGGTTGAAATTCACCACCAAACATCTTGCAGCTGGCTTTATCCGAAAGGGCACATGGACATTTGTTTGTTTTATACCAGGATTAACTGAACAGATTTCANCAAATGCCTCTCTCTCTTTCTGTCTCTCGTGATAAATGAAGTGGCTTCTGTACTTATTCGTCCTTTGTTTTGTATCTTCTAAGGAATAGTCTTTGTCTTTGCAGCAGAAAAGCTTGGAAGCTTTTGCACAACTTCACTCCCATCTTCAATCATCCAAATTATTAGCTAGTAATAACCAAACCCTCTATTTTGTATGTCCAATAAATAATTCTATCCCTCACTTCAGATTTATGTGACAAGGTTGAAATTCACCACCAAACATCTTGCAGCTGGCTTTATCCGAAAGGGCACATGGACATTTGTTTGTTTTATACCAGGATTAACTGAACAGATTTCACTGACTGAAATCTTTGTCACCCAATTATTTACCTAGGACTTGACTGTGTCAATTACTCTTTGATAAATCATATGAATTGATAGTTTCCTCATCAAAGGTTAGAAAATTTGATGTCTCAACTCTGCAATAGAGTTAAGAGCATAACAAAACTGGGGTTTTATGAAGTTGATGGTTGCTTTGATTAAGGGAAAATTGCTAATCAAGGCTGAAGATCACATGAGTTGCCTAGTCTGCACAAGTTCAAAGCCACATTGTGTTTTGCATATTCTTCATATCTTTTGCTTGCCCAAGTTACAAGGCAACAGCTCATCTAGTTGTTTGACCTGCAGCTACTGAACTTGACCCTCTACTTACAATTCAGTTGCTCAGAAATACAACCCATAAAAAGTTTGGAGTATTATACAATTTTCTCCCATTATAGGCTGCCTAACTTATTTTGTTTCTCTGCCTTGTAATTACATCAATTCTTGTTGATTTAATGTACTTGAAATCATGAAATCATGAAATTGGCAAGAGAAACAATTTGCCTATTCTTTGGTGATGTGTGGTAGCAGATTTTACCAAATGGGTATAGACCCAAGTGATCTCATGGCATTTGAAGATTCCTACAATGCGTAAGGTAATCATCTTCAAGCTGTTTCTGGTTTAGAGAATTCTATTACAATCTATTTGACACATCTCGTATCTTTTTATTATTATTATTATTATTATTGAGAGTATTCGGACCAGTTCAACTAATCCTCTAGAGCCTTATAATTACTAGTTGGGTAAGAGGTCCAATCATCACCCTTATTAGTAACTAAGGAGACTTAAACTCAAGAATTCATGAGACCTCCTTTTACTCTTTTACCATTAGGTGACCTAGGTTTGCTAACTGAATTCGAAATGAATAGTGTCTATTTCATTGAATTCAAATTGTTACATGTAACATAAATAATTCAGTTTATAAGTCTTGCGTCCTCATTTGTATGGAACACAACTGTGCTGATTATACTAAAAAATAGACAGTATCCTATTTAATTGGGTGTGAACTTTTATATTTGATATGAGTAATTTAGTATTTACTCAAGTAACTAGATTAAGACAAACATACCGAGAACTAGAATAAGAGTATTAACAAATAGAGTATCCAAAGCTCTAAAATCTCCTGCTTCTTCTTGATGATGACTAAACATTTCTTCCTTTGTGTCTCTCTTAAGAAATGAGAGTGACACTGTACAGAATCTGACCCCCCCAAAAACAATAAACTATTATTATCTTTGTGGCATTGGTTGCTCTCTTATCTCTGTCTATTTCTTACCTAAGCCATTCTTATGTAAATGCTCATCTACAGTCACACAAGTCATGTGGCAGTTACATTTTTGGGATAACTGGATTGAGAATAGCAAAAGAATTAAATTCAAGTAGGGCCAATTCAAACTGATGGTAACATTATGCTAATTCATTAGCTGATGGCATGTCATCCCGATCCAGATCCGATACCATGTGATCTTCAACTACCCAAATAATCAAATAAATGAACTTTTAAGTTGAACACTTTATTGATATATCGATACGAATCTTACAATTGAAGATGAAAAATGCTATCTTTACAAAGACAATACAAAGAGAGCTACAAAGTGATGTCAGCAAGAAGGAAAAAACAAAGAAAGAATGGAAAAAGAGAGAGAGAGAGAGAGAAATCATGAAGATCAAGGATAGCAATTGTCTTTATATGCCCCCTTTGTATTTGTCTTTGTAAGACTAGCATTGCTCATTGAAGATTTACAGAATTTGTAATCGTACGTAAAATTCTGTGCTATTCTGTCAAGAATGAACATTCTTCATGAAATTATACTACGGGGTATCAAAATGTCCTACAACAATGTGTACCTCATCAAAACATGCAACTCAATGGTGCATAAAAAAGGTATCCCACTGGATATTTGGTTTCTCTGATCCAAATTATGAAATTTTGTCATTTCATCAATCATCTGGGAAACCGAGAAACCTGTTTATAAGCTTGGCAACTGGCTTGGCATCACCTGGATGGTATGGCAAGAGAGACTCCAAATCCATACCAGCTATAACTTGATGGAGGTCTTGAGGATGAGCACAATATAAATGCTTCCTCTCTGCTAGCTCTTCTGCTAGCTCACTTTGATGATTGTCCATCAAATCTTCATTAACCACCACAATTAAGGGTTTAGACAGTCGCAAGGTCTCAAATATGCTACCTGACCCTGCAACATGGCAGAACCAATTAAAAATGTTATTCCTTCATGTATGTGCATGTCTTGCAAGTGTATCAAAAAATTGAATAAAAATAAGTAATTAAACTGTCTCCTGCATAACTCCTAAAAAATATCAAGACTAAGAAGATAAAACTTGACTGAGATCATGTAGCCTATGCATATCTTAAAACAGATGACTTATAATTAGGGATTTCATTACAGACCATAAAATATTCTAATTATGGGTTCTGCATTATAGCCAAAAGATTCCATTCATTTAAAAATCAAACTCATTAATCAGCAGAGGATGGAGAAGTATAATAGAAGTCCTATACCAAGTTACAGTACAGAATTACAATTAGAGCAAAACAAAAAGTTACCATGTAAATTCAACAAGCAATTATAGGTATTATTCAATGACTTAGCTCATATTAGGAAAAAATATCATGAATTTGAAAAAATTTATGAAATTTTATCAGTCTATCTTCTCTTTGGATGCAAGCATAAGGGCAAATACATCACAATAATGATTCAAATTTAAGTTCTCTCAAGGATTTAGGTTGTCGTCTCAAATCCTTGCAAATGCATTCACTTGTTAAATTTGCCTTATATGGTGCGGCTATAAGGATTTGAGATGATACAAGCACCGCCAATTACAGTATTTTCTTAATTTAAAAGGAACATGTATAATGGGAAACTGACATCACCAGGGCAAGTCTCAGAAATAGCAAATGAACTATCATACCACAACTTTATAGACCTTTTAGAAAACCAAACCAAACAATAAAATTGTTTAGAATATTATCATGTCCTCTCAAAACAAAAGCCAATTATTTAGACTACAATTAACAGGAACGTGAATAAAATGCACAGTACAACAAAGGTACAACACAACAGAATAGAAATATGAGCTTACCAGCATGACTAATTACAAGAGATGCTGAACTCAGATGATTAGCAATGCTTGATGAAAAAGTGAAGTAGTCTACAGCAAGGGACCCATCTTCTCCAAGAGACTGCTGACAGAATGAACTCAAGATAATTATGAAAAATTACAAATCAAAAGAAAATATAATCACCTCGCTTTGGATTTTTGATGAAGTAAAAGTCAACGTCTTAACAAATTGCTTTTGTTGACGCAACAAGGGAGCCTGGACAAGTGCCACACAAAACTTTGGCAGATGGCCAAAAGTGGCATTATAACAATAATACTGATATGTCTAAGATAATTAATCATCATCATAAATAAAGTTGATTGTAATCCTTTAAATCGTTTCCAAGATAATGAATCAAAAAGTTCAAATAAAAGTCAACTTCTGTTTTTAGTTGAAACCACACTCCAACGATGAACATATTATTCAATTTGTGAATGTAAACTTTAACCTTAATAAGCACAGCAAGATTCTCTCATCATATTTATTAACTATATTCCCACTTGGCCCTGCAGGACTAGACATCCCTATTTGGTGACCTGGCAGGATTCTAGATTGCTATTGCCTACCTTATGTTTATATCAACAAGTGCCTAAAAATGTAGCTCCATAACTCCTAAGTTGGAGCTCCATGCATGTTTCCTGCATATCTCTGAAATGTAAACAGTCTTTTCTTTTCCCCATGTCTCCCCCACCTATGCTTTTACATGCAAAGAATTTGTTTTTAATAATTGTTTACAGGTCTTTCCCAAAGCTACTTAACCTGTTGAATATAATTTTATAGCAGCAATAACCCAACAAGTCAATGTATTACTTAACTAAACATTCATAACAAAAACTTTTACGAATTCACAAATATATGAACTTCAGCCTCAAATTTCACTACTTAACCTTCTTAAGACTTTCCTACAAATTACATAAACACTTCAGCTTAACAACAAAGCAAATAAGATCAAAATACTCATAACATCATTATCAGAAATCTCCATTTCACCCTCACAAATTGCTACTTTACAATTTGATTCAAAAACAAGAAAAACCAATTACACCAGCAAAAACAAAAATAAAAAAATAAAGAGAAACAAATAACCATTGAACTAAAGTAGGACAATACCTTAGTGGGCACATAAGTTCCTCGACCCATTTGAATGACAAGGTGGGTGTACCCTCTCCTAGACAATTCCTGTTTCACTTCCAAAGTATCCACAGCTTGTACGAGAGCATCAAAGCATGTCGTTCCCACAGTTACAAACACAATTCTCTTCAAGCCCACACTATCTTCAGTACCTCCCATTTATAACTTTGCTGCCTATAGCTACTACTGTCTAAAATGCACACCAATTAAGCTTGAACTCCTATTAATAATGCCAACCCATGGACATCAAAGAAAATCACAAGCTTTACACTCATCAATAGCAACAAACACAACAAATGACATAAATAACTTAAGCATTCCCATTTCAAAAAGCAACAAAACAACCCAGATAAAAACTTTTTTTAAGGAAAAAAAAACCCACATTCTTTAAAGTCATCAAAGGCAACAACAAACATCTCAAGCAGGAATTAACTTACATTATTATCTTGTTCATTACTAAAGTACTAATGGATACATTAGCATAAGATTTTTTTTAACGCATTCAATCTTTTGGATGCAAAACAAATGATTATACTTTGAATTTTAACTATAAAAGAACAAATTCGTTCTCCTAATCTCTAATAGATTCCGAATTGATCATTTTCTAAATTAAATTGACAGCCAAATTGGAAATGGAAGCAACCGAGGACATATGAACAACTCAATTCAAACACTTACAAAAAAGTTTCACCCGAAAGCATATCGAACACTCACCAGAATTTCAACGGTGAATACACCTTCACTTTCAATTTTCGAACTTTCAGTGATGCTACAAAGACCAGCCGGTCTCCCTCCACATAACACTTCGAATTTGCTGGTTTTTCCGCGATTTCCTCCTGATCAGGGGTTGTATTGGGTAAGGGATTGATTTCTTGTGTTGGCTTGGTTAAGTGGGTGGGGGGCTGCGGGTTCACGGTGGAGTTCGGTGCTTCTTTACAGGGTGAGGGAATATGGTGGTGGGGGTTGGGTTGGGGTCTCCTTGCCAAGGTCTTGAGAGAGCAAAACCCACAAGTCGGCCCAATCAGTATTGACCAATTTCAGGCCCATTTATGTACCCAAACTTTTGCACACCTGGCCCGGTTAGGATAGGACCCAGCCCACTTCCCTTAATAATATCTCTTTATTCTCATTATATATATATATATATATAGAAACTCGAATCTCAAGACCTTGATCAATAAAAAAGTAGTTTATAAACTTTTCTTACTAATTTTCTCTTATAAATACGATGTGACCAGTTTATAATTGATCCAACAATGGGTTCTCTCGAACTAATTACAAGCTATCGAAAAAGAAAGTTAATTAGAATAGTATGTAAACCTATCTTTATTGTTAATAAAAGGTTATGGTCGTGACAACTTTATTGGAAGGATTACATTACTGTAACTTATATGTGTAAGTTAAATTTCTGGTGATTGATTCATGCATGTATATTTTGTTTTCTCCATGGTAGATCATAAGCAAATCTTATTGAAAGGTAAACACAGATTCAACTTTCACTTGCAGTAGTTCATATGGAAGAAGCTCTTAAAGCTTATCATGGAGGAGGCGGAGGAGAGAAGGAAAGGAATATTTGGTCAACAAGTTAGCAGAAAAAGTGAAAAGAGACTAGATTGGAATGTCTAAACTTGAGGTTAAAGCTTGTTTCTTTGTATAATGAGTATGAACTGAAAGAAGAGGGGACAAAACAAAAGTGAGTTTGTACAGTTCTCCAACAGTGTCAAAAAGTGTTAAAAAAAAAGAAAAAGAAAGGAGAGAGAGAATCTGCTACTATTCTATTCTTCTTATTATTATCTCAGGATTTGAATCCGAATCCTGTTGGATTTTTTCTTTACAGGTCAAAGTATTTCTTCTCCATTTTTGTTCATGTCAGATCTTTAAATTCCTCGGGATTCCCTTTCTTCCCAAAGTAATACTATTCTATTTCTCTTGTCACTCATCCCTCCATACATCCCAGTTGCCTGCAGGTTGCCTTTTTTATGATAATTAAGCTTACAGAGTTAAGGAGAAGAGACTTGAAATGGGGTTGATTTTGAATGTTAAATTTAATTAACCACACCATTAACATCAATCACCTAACCATTTTTACGCTATGAAATGATACCTTGGTGCCTTGTTTTCAGCTTGTGGGGGTGATGCATTATTGAAATAAATTAAAGTTTGTTAGGAGATTGATTGGACCTGTAATTCTTGATAGGTTTGGTAGACCAATCCAACCTAATTTGGGTTCATGAGGCTCATTGTCAGGTCAGGTCAATTACCCAGAACTTTGGTTCCCACCAGCCAACCACCATCTTATCTGATATAAAGGAGCCCGTGTCTCTCTCTGTGTCCTGTTCCTGGGTTCCTCCTGCACCATGTCCACCCAGCAAGGGCTAGCTGTTCTACATAATAAGGACTGGGGACCCAAGCTTGTCAACCCCACAATTACCCTATCACCCTTCAAGAAGGTATTTATATAGTTTCACATGTGAACCACTGAACCAGTCATATCCTTTTATTATTGGTTCACATGAGATAATGTTATCTTGGAATGTTAAAATATGTAGTATTGTATAGAGTGAGTGTCAGTAATGTTTTTGTCAGCATCGGACGCTTACCCCACACTAAACAGTCCAATTATTGGGCTTTCTGGATTGGATGTTAATCTCTAGCCATAGCATACCAATCCCCTCTAAGCACCCTCTTCCTAAAGGATTCGAATGTAAAAGAATAAAAGAATATCTAATATAAAGTAAAAAAAGTAAGAGAATGATATAAAATATAGTAATTAGAGCTCTTATTTTACATATAATTCTAAGATTTTGAGAGATTAGTTGAATTATGCATAAATTAGTTTAGACACTTTCGATTATATAAAAAAACTCAAGCCAACCGAAGGCAATATGTTCTTAAAAGGACTCGAACTTGAACCCATGACCAAATTATAACTATTAGTATTAATAAAGACAGTAATTTTATCTCTTTAAATGAATAGTTTTACACCCAGAATTCAAGGTGATCCGACCCTCTTAACTCTAGTCTCGGAAGAATGGTGACCCTTAAAGCTCGAAACTTTAACGTGGACTGTGGACTATAGAGCGGCCTTTCTCTGGACTCTGGCTCCCTTTCTTGAGACTTTAGAATTTAGCAGTTTTAAACTCCATCTGTTGACACTAGATTCAAGAGTTATCTGTCTCAGCCTATAAATTGTTCAAACTCTAAAATTAAATTAACTTATTTATTTATAACATTTTTTAGTTTATAAGTTAGTGTTTAAATTTAAGCATTTGTTGCTTTAAACTAATTTTCATAAGCTGACAAACACCCCTAACTGCACAAGGCATCAGATGAACCGTCCGTAAAGACTAGACTGCAGAATCTATGGCTTTTTGCAGTATGTGACAGATGACATTTATTACTTTCCTCAATCTTCATTCTTCCATTCCTTCTTCACCGCCCACCCTCCAATTCTTAGGTGACCAGGAGCCTCACCAGACCCTTTGGATATTTGTAATTTCTTCTGTCTCTCTGACTTGGGAATCGGCTCTAATTCTCAACTTTGTTTTAGAAGACAAATAAAACCAAATAATCCTTAATAAAAATATTTATATACTACAAGTTATAAATTACAATAAATCACGCTTTTGAGACCATTCACGGACACTTATTAAAAGGGTTTCGTGACAAACTCATAAACTCATTTAGGTGACTTTGCAAATCTCGTGCACACTAGCCTTAAGGAGTTGGTGTGACAGTGAAGAAGATTTGCTCTTTTTATTGATCTTTTTGGTTTGAATTATGAGACCACTTATCATATTTGTGGTTTGTCTTAGAATATTGAATTTGTAGGGTGTTTAATGAGTCTCGGAGATTAGTTGAGATATGCGTAAACTGGTTTGGACTCCAGTAAAAAAAAAAATCCCTTAATGACTATTCTTATTAACAATCCAAATAGATCAAATTCAAGACCTCTTAAATAATATACCCAAAAATTATAGTTAACTGTTGGACCACCTAATGATAGTTAAGAAAATGCAAACTTAATAATGGAAGATTTAATAAAGACAGTGACAAAATTATAAAGAGATGTTGAAAAATTAGTGTTAGACACAAACTATGTTTCTTCGTGATGAGAAGAAGATGAAGTTTGGAATCTTTTATTAACCAGAATAAACTCTCTATATTCAAAGTGATTCCATAATAAAAAAACTTCGACAGCTGCCTGAGAATTCCATTGAAACGCCCAAGTTCATGTGCATAATTTGATGAGTATTTTATGTTATTCCTAAACATTCATAACAAAAACTTTTACGAATTCACAAATATATGAACTTCAGCCTCAAATTTCACTACTTAACCTTCTTAAGACTTTCCTACAAATTACATAAACACTTCAGCTTAACAACAAAGCAAATAAGATCAAAATACTCATAACATCATTATCAGAAATCTCCATTTCACCCTCACAAATTTCTACTTTACAATTTGATTCAAAAACAAGAAAAACCAATTACACCAGCAAAAACAAAAATAAAAAAATAAAGAGAAACAAATAACCATTGAACTAAAGTAGGACAATACCTTAGTGGGCACATAAGTTCCTCGACCCATTTGAATGACAAGGTGGGTGTACCCTCTCCTAGACAATTCCTGTTTGACTTCCAAAGTATCCACAGCTTTTACGAGAGCATCAAAGCATGTCGTTCCAACAGTTACAAACACAATTCTCTTCAAGCCCACACTATCTTCAGTACCTCCCATTTATAACTTTGTTGCCTATAGCTACTACTGTCTAAAATGCACACCAATTAAGCTTTACACTTATTTAAAGAAACAAAAATGAACTCCTATTAATAATGCCAACCCATGGACATCAAAGAAAATCACAAGCTTTACACTCATCAATAGCAACAAACACAACAAATGACATAAATAACTTAAGCATTCCCATTTCAAAAAGCAACAAAACAACCCAGATAAAAAAAAAAACCCACATTCTTTAAAGTCATCAAAGGCAACAACAAACATCTCAAGCAGGAATTAACTTACATTATTATCTTGTTCATTACTAAAGTACTAACGGATACATTAGCATAAGATTTTTTTTTAACGCATTCAATCTTTTGGATGCAAAAAAAATGATTATACTTTCAATTTTAACTATAAAAGAACAAATTCGTTCTCCTAATCTCTAATAGATTCCGAATTGATCATTTTCTAAATTAAATTGATAATCAAATTGGAAATGGAAGCAACCGAGGACATATGAACAGCTCAATTCAAACACTTATAAAAAAGTTTCAACCGAAAGCATATCGAACACTCACCAGAATTTCAACGGTGAATACACCTTCACTTTCAATTTTCGAACTTTCAGTGATGCTACAAAAACCAGCCGGTCTCCCTCCACATACCACTTCAAATTTGCTGCTTTTTCCGCGATTTCCTCCTGATCAGAGTTTGTATTGGGTAAGGGATTGATTTCTTGTGTTGGTTTGGTTAAGTGGGTGGGGGGCTGCGGGTTCACGGTGGAGTTCGGTGCTTCTTTACAGGGCGAGGGAATATGGTGGTGGGGGTTGGGTTGGGGTCTCCTTGCCCAGGACTTGAGAGAGCAAAACCCACAAGTCGGCCCATACAGTGATTGACCAATTCCGGCCCATTTACGTACCCAAACTTTTGCACACCTGGCCCGGTTAGGATAGGACCCAGGCCACTTCCCTTAAAAATATCTCTTTAATCTCATTAATACCATATGATTTTATATATATATATATATACACATATATATAGCAAGAAACTCGAATCTCAAGACCTTGATTAATAAAAGAGAAATATCACGTTCACAAACTTTTCTTATTATCTTTTTCTCATAAATACGATGTAGTAGCTTGTAATTTGTCAGTCACAATGGATTTCATCTATCTAACAATGAGTTTCTCAGACTAATTACTAGCTATCGAAATAAAAAAATTAATTAAAAAAGTTTGTAAACTTATCTTTATTGTTAATAAGAGGTT